TTTGCCGGCAATCATTGGAGTTTTTTTTTTTTCTAATTATGACATGCAATTTTGTGTATGCCAAGTGTTATTGTGCGGTAAAACCTAAAAAATCTTGAAATATCCCACTCTTTCTAAAATAATGGAATTAGAATTCGTGAATCATATTTTTTTTGTACAATGCTTCTCGCTCGTTCCTTCTTTTTCTCCCCTTTCCCTGTAAATATGTGTATTTGTTTGCTCCTTTGTCATCTGCCGGATTTTCTAATTCAGCAATCGGACAAAGTATGAAGTTGAAATTTCACGAATTTTTTCTTCACCTGCGAACAGCCTTACATGCCTGGAATCGTTCTTTACGTGTGTACTTACGTCATTTTTATGAACTCGTGAAATTTGTAGTTGCAAAAAATCAGCACTGCTCCAGGTCCACACCGAGACAAACGAAGAAGGCGAAATTTGTGAGTTTAATTTCCGACAAATAAGTTAATCTTCAGACTTATAAATGTTACTGAGATGCGGCTGCTGAGTACAGTGTAATTTTAATGAATGGTGACTGTGTTATATGTGAATTGCTCCAGTGCTGCACATAAATTACTAACATAAAACTTGCTTTTTTGCATGAACAACATCGTGGTGAAAAACCCAAACATTGTCTTTTTATTTGAAATCCAGTTTTCTCACGATAATTTTCTTACGAAGTCCAATTTCCTCATAATATCGAAAGCTGCTTAGTCGCAGTGGTAGCGCATAGGCACCAAAAAAATGTTAAAAAAATTAGTCCGGCTGAAGTAGTCCTTAGTCCGGTGAAGATGAGTGCACATATCGAAATGTGAAGCAATGAATGTTGGTGGCAGGAAGCATTCGCGCTGGGCGGAATGATGCAGACACGCTTGCGTGCATTGCAGCTTATTGAAAATGTGGTGAAATCTATGTGCTTTTCAGTTGTTGTAGCAATAAAGTAGGATGCCAATTGAGATTATTGCAAAATTGGATCGCGAATGTGCGGTGTATCTTGCCGGAGAAGCTGTACAGTGCAAGGTTCGTTCATCTTCTATCAAATACAACAGATAAAATCAAAATGCACGTGGATTCCAGGCTGCATTCGGCTTTTTTTCAGAATTTGCGTGGTGATATGGTTGGATGCACTTGAATCTTAGGTTTTGTAGAAATTTCTGTGGGATCATTCTTTTTTTTTTTTCAAGCATTGTATGTATACGTGGCTGTACAGTTCTAGGGTGTTTGTAACCGTTTTGCATGTTTATAGAAAAAAGTAAGCTTAAACTTTCTACTTCGTATGTTTTGATTTTTCAGCATCGTGATAAAGCTTTTTTCATTGTGCTTTAATGATCAACAACTTACACCAGGGTTGCTGGTACGGAAATAAGATTTTTAACAGTAAAAACATTTACTGTTTCATAGTTTGATATGTGCAAAAAAGTTATAATAAAAAAGGGAAAAGGAAGGTAAAAGATGAAAATTTGAAAATTTTTGAGATTTTTAAAATGGTAAGAAGTGTTTCGTTCCATTAAGCTGCTGGTGCTGGAAGTACTCTTACTGATCATTTTTTCTTCCACATTCGGGGAAAAGAGCCACCAGTTGAGTCGGTAGGGCTTTATGGTCATTAATTTCAAAATTTTTTTCCGTTTTTTTAAGTTTAGTTAATTCGTCTCTTCCTTCAGTTTAGATTTCAAAAAATTTTTTGATACTTCCAGTCAAAGAAATAATTTACAGGTGCTGCTGCGAAATATCGGCAACGAAGAGGAATCGTTGGCTTGGGGCAGTGTTCATGTACAATGTGAGCGTATTATGCGCGCAAACAGACGCGATGGTCCGCCGAGAAAATCCTCAGCCGATGGGAAAACCAAAGGAACAACTGCAATTTCACGTTCCGCATTCACAGTCTTCTCATGTCGACCAGTGATTTTGTTCTGCGAGCTACTGCTAGGTGTTGGTGAAAGCCGTGAATTCGAATGTACACAACAACTACCACTGGATTCTATCCCGCCATCGTTTAAGTACGTTTTTTACCACTTTTTTTTAAAGATTTTCCTTTGTAGATCCTAAGAAAAGTTTTGCCGCCGCGATCGATTGGTTTTCTGGCCGGAAACTCCAATTTTGCTACGAAGCTTGCACAGGATAAAAGTCACATACTTTTTTCCTGTGCTACACGTTTCTAGTTCATACTCAGCGTTCCTTTAATCTAATCGGTTTTTTTTTGCCATGGACTTTTTTTCAAAATTTTTAATTCTAATTTTTAGTGCACTGTCCCGATTTTTTGATCGTAAAAAAAATCCTGTTTTTAAATTTTATTAAATACTAAAGACAACCGGCACATTTTACACAGTAGTGTTTGTTACGCTGACCTATTTTTATTTCTTGGTTTTGTTTCGACGCTTCGTTCGCCTACCGCTCTATCGAGATGTAAGTATCAAGACTTCAGTGCAACAGTTTCGACGGTTCTTGACAAAAATAAAAAATCAAATAACGCTGCTTTAGTGAAGTACTACTTTTTTAGGCAAGTTAGGGTGCAACATTACTGCGCTAAGATTCTTGTAGCTGTTTTTTAGAGGGCATCTTATTCGTTATCTGTATAAATTAACAGTTGGTGTGCAACACGTGAAATCACCGATCAAGCTGATTAACGTGCCGCTGAGGATCATCCAGTCAGATCTCGGATTAACGCTACCGAGCACCCAGACGTTCACCAATCCATTTATCACCAATCATAATACTGGGTAATCCATCCTATCTATTCTGAAATTGAAATTTTATGACAACAATTCAGCCCACCAGCGATCGCTAATTATTTTAACAAACTTATCTCACCTTTCATTTAAACTTTCTGACTCCGATCGCCCCACATTTTGATTTCTTCGGACCGTTCATTTAAGATTACGAATCTCGGCCTGCTGACGGCCGCAATTTATTATTCTGACATATGCTAAATGAAAATATTTCTGTGTTTCATTCTCTAGACATCAGTACAGCCTCCTGCTCACCGTTTAGAGAATAAACATATGGAATTCAGTACCGTAGAATTGTGCTTTTAACTTTCGCTATTTTTTTAAATTCATTGTCCTTTATTATAGTCTGTCTTTTTTTTCTAAATTTTCTAACGGAGCTTGCCTGAAAATTTGCTTTTTAATTTGCAGGCCGTCAATACTGGATTTAGCAACTGAAGCAACCGACTGTTTAACTGCACCACATGGTACCTTTAGCTACTGCATGACAAATTCATCTGGTCGAGTGGCGAATTTTTTGCTCAACAAAAAAGCCTACAAATTAGGCGAGGATGTTATCGGGCGGTTCAACTTCGATGATTGCGCTGTACGCTGCCTACAAGTGAGGAGACGTTTTCACATTTGCAAGTATTGTATAGTTTAGAAGAAGTAAAATAATGGGGATAAAGCGCTAACAGCTCTCCATAAAATGCTGTAGAAATTACGCATCTATGGCCTAAAATCATCTTGTACTCGAAGTGTCGAACCACAAGGACCGAATCCCCCTTTTCTATACTCCTATGTTGAAGGCAGTGACATAAGGATGTAAAACGCAGTCACTTACGAAAGTTGAAGAGCGAGTTCTGGTTTTTATGGAGAGAGGAGTGAAATAAAGGATGCCTGGTATATCCTTTCGTTACCATATAAACAATCGGATTTTCCGTCAGATGAGCAGCGTATAGGATACTATTTGTGACTACGTGAGAAAATAAAATTTGATGGTCAGTCCACGTTGCCTCATTTTGACGACAACCGTTGGACGTTGCGCACTAATGAGTGATTCAGCGAAAAAGGAAACAACTATT